GATTTGGCAGAAAAAATCTCCCTTCCTGTTCGTTCCTTATCATCCAAATGCAAACCACATTGTTGACGTTACTCTTATTGCTATATGCTGTCAAATGAATTTCATGGGCCAAAGTTAGGAACATAGAAAAGAAATGTGTCCTTAAAGTTGGGTCCATGATTTACTTGTGAAAACGTTGTTAAACAATTAAAATAAACATAAAATATTCAAACAGTAACTGTGAGTTTTACGTCTAGTGTGTATTATCAGGTAATTCCATTCAATAAATGCCATAATCAGGCCATTTGATGATCGTCAGTGCAACCTTCCCATCTTAACCTTAGAAGTCATGGCGGCTAAAAACTCCGAACAGAGTGATATTCTCAACCAGTTTTATTACTTACGAGAGCTGAAAATGTATTGAAATGTTGTGATATAAATTGATTTGTGTGTGGTACACATTTATCAATCATCAGTGATCAATATTTTCCTTATTTTTTGTGTAATATTCCTTAATTAATTATTTATTTGCGTGATAGGCCGAATGAAAGGACTAGACCCACATTACATACCGTAACCCTACCTTATTACAATAAACTCTTTATACATAGATATTTGCGATTCAAGATTTAGGAAATAATTTCGAAATGAGTCTTGACTGTATTTGAAGTGTGATATGAATTCAAACGTAAAGCATTTATTGATTCATAGAATTCCAGAGTGATTTGAGATTTGGGCGTAATTGCTTTTGTAAACAAACGCGTCAATTAATGATTTCTCTTGAATAAAAGCTCAATCTCTCAAACAAACCATACCAAATGATAGAGGAATCATTCCTCTACCTCATAGTGTTATTACTTTTCGAGGTTGAGCTTATATTCGCGAGAAATCGGCGATTGACGTGTTTGTTTACAAATGCTATTACGCCCAAATCTCAAATCACTACGGAATTAACTGCTCATGAACAGGGTTGTCAATCGACAATCGTCGAATTTGCATTTCAGACGTTAATGCAGATGTTATCGACGGTTATTGATTATCAACTCTGCCCATTACTACTTTTCAACAATTGTTCTTTTCATCAATTTATTAAAGTTTTGTTTATCACACACAGCGGCGCCGGTGGTGTAGTGGTAAGCGTGATTACCTCTCACCCCAGCAGGCCTGGGTTCAATCCCAGTCGGCGCCGCCGGGATGTTCTGAGGCATATTTAACATCTCTGATCACGCCTTCCTTCGGAAGGGAAGTAAAGCCGTTGGTCCCCGGCTCATGAGTTGATGGGTCGATAGGTAGGGTCCAGGTTTGGGAGCTACCTCCCTGGCGTCGGTAGCATTGGTGCTCAGCACGGAAAACAAGATCGACGGAAAACAAACCAAGGAAAAAAAATCAATATATACATCTACCACACTGTATTGTTAATTATGCTTGTTTTGACTGTTGTTACCATTGTAATCATTGAGTATTGGAGATCTCCCGATTTTGTTTCCTGTGTCATGAACCCTATATTAATGGAAGTAAATAATTAATATGGAGGTCGTAAACAATCACACCGAAAAAGATTGATGATAGAAAATGGCAATGTAAACATAAATCGAAACAAAAATAAGTTCTAAACCCTAGTTGTAAATGTAAATCTTCATGAAAAAAACCTTCCTAACATGAGGAAAACAACAATTGTTGCTAAGTATTTCTAATACTTATAATTGAAATCACATTTCAAATACAGTTAACTCTCCTTCTTCTCCCGAGGGTATCTCCTTCGACCACATTTCCCATGCACGTTTAAGTACTTACCATAACTCGAAATCGTGTTCTAGCTCGTTGTTCGCTTGAATTTTTATTTAGATAGAGTATACCTTTTCTCCTCATTTTTCTTGTTTTCTACTTCTGTTCCTCTTCCATCCTCTCTTATTCTCTCCCATTTTCATATTTGCGATTGCGGTAGATCAGCATAACCACAATGTAAACGTTTTACTTATTTCATTTATACAGCCTCAAGCTGTATTCAAACGTTATACGATTTGAAGAAACCTTTATTCAACCTCTATACAAGTAAATCTGGTGAACTTAGTCAGCTACTTATGGCTGTTGGGACGCTTGGGGCAAGCTCTTATTGCAATTCCAACCTTTTCCCGGTTATCCAATAATCACTACGCAGCTTTTTTGTTTACGCTTTTTTCTGTTGGAGGAATTTATTGAGTTTATTTTGCTGCAAATCAAATTCATCAAAATTAGTTATAAGCACACACCTAATTATTCACACCGCACTGGAACCTGGAATCGAACTCGAGACGACCGCATTGGAAAACACTTTGAACTTATGTAAAACAATTTAGATGCCTTTTTACAACAAGATTGCTGAGTAGAGGCTTTATAATAGTGCACATGAATCACTTTTCTCGACTATTTAATTCAGCTTTGTAAAGGAGCAGAGTAAAAGCTGTAAAACAGCTCACGTCAAAAAATATACCAAGGTCATTGTTAAAATGCTTTCAAAGTATCGCTAACACAGTTTATTAGCTGAGTACAGATTATTTAGTTGTGGGAAAAGCACTTTTGATGTTTATGTTATTCAGCAAGAATGGTTGGTTGTGAATAAGCCATCAAATGAGTAATATATTCACTTTGTTAGCATTGTTTTGCAGCTTCAAGTTGAAAGTTGACTAATATTTGCATAGAAGTGCCATTATCGTTAAGTAAACACTCTTCAAAACTATTTTGCTGGCTTCTGCTTGTATCTGTATCTGCAACTTAACAGCACAACGCTGGAAAAGTTGGCTCTTAAAGCTGAAAATGTTAGTTGGGAAGTCCATATGCAGATATATCTCAAGATCGAGGAAAGATTGCAAAATTTATCTCCTAAATAAAGTAAAACAAAAATCCAAAATGTTCAAAATTTTCGCTATTCAGGGTCACAAAATCATGTGTTTACTTATATAAGCATATGTTTTATTTGAAAAAAGCTCATCGTTTGACATTTTGAACTTAGAACTCTTGCGGCACCTCTAAATGTCAACGAAAAAAGTCAAATTTTGTATATGTTACTTTTATCAGTCCCAATGATTTTCCACAGGGGAAAACATGTCCCGAGCGATTTTGAAAAATAAGCTCCACCCTATTCTTACAGCTTATACAGACAAATATTGCCTTACTCAGTTATAAACAGTCATATTCAGCTTTAAGGTGATACTCTAAGGAAACCTTAGCGTGAAACTTCAAAAGCACAAATGTCAGCTTCCGCAAAACATGCAATAACGTAATTGCTACTCTCTGTTTGTTGTAACGCTGCAACTAAGGAGTAGTAATTTCATATTTGTACGCTTTGTGGAAGTTGACATTTGTGTTCTTGAAGTTTCACGCTAAGGCTTCCTTGGAGTATCACCTAGCATAATTATTTGTTGAATTAGTTTGTTCGTTAAAAAAATATTGAGTTTCCATTGTTGAGATCAGGGTACCTTCCATTCATTTTGGCTTAAAAATGTTTTATGAACATATGGAATAATAAGATACTATAATGATATTTTGTATGTGGTAACTAGAAAAAAAATGTAAAGATTCAGTTTGACACAAAACCTGCAGATTTAGCTTTGACAGAGTCACAATGTGATAAATGACAAAATCGCTTATTGCGACTCTCATGTGGCAAAATTGGCAGGTATTATGTGTCAAACACAAACTTCACATTATTATGTGCTTACACAAACAAAATATTACAATAATATCTTATTATTCCATAATTTCATAAAACATTGTTTTGCCAACATGAAAGGAAGGCCTCTGGTTGAGATAACCAATAGAACTGAGTTTTGCATTAAGAATATGACGTTCACCATTTCATCCTGCCCCTCTGTACTGTTTTCGATTTACCCCAATGAGGCGTCAAATGTGGAGCAAGTAGAAATGCTTTAAATGTTTTGGAAAAATTCATTTGCGACCGGCATTGTTCTATAAGATTACTCCAACTAGCCACCATATGATTCCGGAGGGAACAAAACTGGATAAAACATAGATTTTTTGTCAGATAGATGGGCTGCGAATAAAGCGCTTGGATGTCAAATAATTGTTCAAATTTAAATTGAATATTCAAGTAAAAGATCATCGATGACGTAGGGAAAGTCTTAATTTTATTGCTGGTACCTAATACCAAATGCACTAATGATAATTATTTTTTTTTTGAAAATTACACCTTATTCCGTTCAGTTACCACTGGCTCCTGTTCAACAGTTAAGAGATCTTTTCCTTTGGTTTCTGGTATTGTGAATATAATTACAAATATACTAGCTAAGCAAATCGAGGAATGAAACCACATCGTACCGTACAGGTGGATTCGGTCGATCATGATTGGAAATAGCTGAAACCAGTTGATTGAGATGAAACGAATTAATTAAAATTTAAATGATTATCTACCTTGAGAACGACGAATGCGCTAGAAGAAATCATCAATATGCTGATTGTACTGCCAACGTTTCTGATCTGGTGATGAGGGATAGCATTGGTGGTTAAAAGTTCAATTGGATTGCGAATTAGTTTGCGTATACTTTTTGTGGCAGCACCTTTGCTAAAATCACGAACGGTAGTGGTAGAATTCCAAACGATGAGAAAAGAATGGTAAACGATAAGCTTAGAATTGGGATGGAGCCAAGGTGGCTTAAATCATGTCCGCTGTGTTGCAGAAATGAGAACAGTCCCATGGCGAATAAGCCAACCGTGGTCCCTGCAGTGGAAATCAGCAGCAGCATTTTTCGACCTAAATTATCAACTAAAGCAAAGGACACAATCGTTCCGAGCAACTGAATTAGGGCCACTATGATTGAGGACACATTCGGGGATAGATCAGAACCGGATTCCTTGAAAACGTTGGCCGAATACGTGATAATAGCCAATGCCCCGCAGAATTGGTTCAGCACCATCAGAAAGATTCCGATTCCCAGTCCATTTCGGGCTTGCTTTGTACCTGTTGAGAAACACAGATAAATCAAAAAAAGATGGATTCCCACACCATAAATAAAATGTGTTCTAACAGATATCTTTCCACGTAAGCCTGTGTTGGTCGGTTGATGCTCTTTCGTTTTGCACCACTTTTTTCAGCTGCTCAAATTCTTTCGTAAAGTCAGTAGTCTTCTGAAAGTGTCCCCTAATTCCCCGATAGAACATCAAGGATCGTTCGGCGTTTTCGTTTCGATTCTGTTTCAGCAAACAGTAGGGCGTTTCCGGTAGGAAACAGGTACAGACGATAAAAAGTCCCGGACCCGCAAGCATCACGACCGGCACGGTGAAGAACGACAGAAAGTGTCCCAGCACAAATCCCAACAGAATTCCGATGTTGAGTGAAATGACCAGAATCGAGCCCAACATCCCACGTAGTTTGCAGTGAGCAATGTCTGCGATGTAGAGAGGGATGGCACGGAAAATTCCGCCTCCACCGCTGCCGGCTAGTATCCGACCGAGGTAGATGAAGTAAACGTTCTGTCCGAACAGAATGCATAGCCAGAAAGCCTGTGGATGGAAAGAGTTTAGCAGGAGTTAGTTTTTTCCGAATGAAAACATTTCTCAGAGGACAAGAACGATGAGAATTAAAAACACTGCTTTCATCAACAATCCAAAAGGGCGGATCAACTATTTGTATGCAATGGCTTAAAACGCAATTTTCTCAAAAAATACCCACGCAAACCAACATTGCCATTCGATAAAGGAAGTTTGCTCAGTCAGATACCGGTGCTTGATTGCGTGAATGTGTTCGATTCTCGAGAAATCCGCGTTTAATGCCATTGTTTACAAATGGTTGATCCACCTTTCTCAACTGTTGAAGTAGTATTCATTTTCTTTTTGTTGAGTTGCCCAGAGAGATTTAATTTTACTAGGTGGGGTAAAATTAAAATTATCAGGTTCCCCTTTTAGCTCGATACACTTTTTCCAGCGATTTTCCAACTTCATGATCCCGTCCGAAAAGTTATTTTCCGGAAGGGCTACAAAATACTCCTCCGCAGCGTAGATGATTTCCTCACGTGAGCTGATTTTTTTTATTGATGAGCCATCTTTTGAGGTATGGGAAGAGATAATAGTCTGAGGGAGCCAAATCGGGCGAATACGGAGGATGCGGAGGCAATTGGAGCCGTAAGTCATTGATTTTAGCCGTCGTTGCGATGCTCTTGTGCACCGGACATTGTCTTGCAAAAACAAAATATTTTTTCGCTTGATGGCCGTTTTGCACCGATTTCGGCTTTCAATCGCTCCAATAATGCACCATGTAGTACCATGTAATACTCGCTGTTGATGGTTTTTCCTTTTTCGAGTTAGTCCACGTAGAGTATGCTATGAAAATCCCAGAAAACCGACGCCATAACCTTTCCGACCCATCGAGCCTCCCTCGGCCGCTTCGGAGCACTCGTGTCGGCTTCAGTCCATTGCCGGACACTCATTCTGTTCTCTGGGGTGTAATAGTGGGTCCAGGTTTTATCAAAAGTTACCAATCGACGCCAAAAGTCCGCCCGATTCCGCATCAGTAAGTCTAAACACTCTTTCAAAGTGCTCTCGCGTTCGTGTTTTTGGTCAGGAGTGAGCTTGTGTGGCACCCAGCGGCAGGATAACTTTTTTGATATCCAGAATCTCGCCCAAAATATGGCGTGTGCGCTCAATACAATCTTTGCGGCATCTGCTAGCGCGCGCACCTTCACTTTCCGGTCAGCCAACACATTTTCATGTATTTTTTGACATTGTCCAGTTTTAAGAGCGCATCTTCATGCTGAATGAAACCAAAAATTAATCACATACACAAACACACACACACACACACACACACACACACACACACACACACACACACACACACACACACACACACACACACACACACACACACACACACACACACACACATCTAGGGAGAAATATTGTTGTAATGAAAATTCTGATCCACAATGTACATAATCAGTATGCTGTTGGTGCAATCCTCCGGAAATACATATAATGAATTTAATTTTCAATTGTTTCAATGTTTCTCACCATATTAACATAACAACATGTAATACTTATTACAGCTGTAATGTTTTCCATTAGTATGATTTCAATTGATTTTGCGAAGATTACTTTTTAATTTTGACACATTTTTGAGCTGCAGATTTGTGATATGAATTTGATAATTTTTAGAAGGCGCGTATATTTATTCGAAGTAAAATGTTTCGTTTCACCATAAACTTGAAGCGTTTGTATTCCGATTTTTCAATTCTTTAAAGTCATTAATTTCAATGTTTATTCAAATGACTTTTTCTACGATTATCATCTCAGATTTTTTAGTCCTAAGAAAAACATCATTATTCTATTTCCGCATAACCACACCAAAATATCCAATACATATATATACATATATACATATATATGTATATGGTTAACTAGAATGTCGTTCGAATGTATTCGAAAACACCACTGTACTGTTAGCGATGTCAGCTAAACATTACAGCTGAGTCAGTCAAAACCTGCAAATAAGTTATGTGTCATTAACATATTATCTTCCATGAAACTGATTTGCAACACCTTTTGCAACAAACATAAGTTGCAAAGAGACTCCACTTTCTGCGCTTTTTAAAGTACAATGATGTTTTATATGTGATGCATTGTCCATAATTTAAACCTTTATTTAGTCACACTAAGGTTGTTTTTGTTCGCTGAGAAACAAATGGTGTTGCTTGGGCTGTCAGCAATATACCCAGGTAGCACAATTCTCTCTTAACACAAATATTACATAAACATGAAGTTACAAGCGAATATGAAGTTACATCATAACCTCCTGAGTAACAGGACGCTTTAATGTCACACAATGGTCATTAACTTCATAGTCAGATTGTCACAATGTTGAGATAAAATGCGACTTATCTGGTGTTAATGGTGACACAGTGTAACCTTTTTTTTTGTCGATCTAATGTTATCAATTGGTTGAACTGTAACTAAGTTGCCACACAACAGTGACCGAAAAGTTACGAATGTCTTGACCTGTAAAATTCGTGCGGAAAAGGGGCAGGGACTTCGTCTGTTCTCCAGGAGGAGCGGCTCACAACAGCGTCTGTTCCCCATGTTAGGGGTGGCTGATCTACGTCCGAGTGCCAGTGAAGGACTCTAAGTACAACTGTGCACCCTGGTCCTCTAGAAAGTTAGGGCGTTGGTGTCAGGCCCTGCGAGCCAGCCGTAAAAAAGCATTGCAGCAATCAGCAACAGAGGAATACGAACCTAGACCAACGGCAACGACCCCAGCGACGAAATAGGACTGGCGATTGGAAACTCGGCCCGTGGAACTGTCGATCTCTCAATTTCATCGGGAGCACCCGAATACTCGCCAATCTACTGAAGGACCGTGGATTCGGCATCTTAGCGCTGCAGGAGGTGTGTTGGACAGGATCCATGGTGCGAACGTTTAGAGGTAATCATATCATCTACCAGAGTTGTGGCAACACACGCGAGCTGGGCACAGCTTTCATCGTGATGGGCGAAATGCAGAAGCCCGTGATCGGTTGGTGGCCGATCGACGAAAGAATGTGCAGGTTGAGGATCAAGGGCCGATTTTTCAAATTTAGCTTAATCAACCTGCACAGCCCTCACTCCGGAAGCACTGATGATGACAAGGACGCATTTTACGTGCAGCTCGACCGCGAGTACGATCGCTGCCCAAGTCACGACGTCAAGATCATCATAGGAGACCTAAATGCTCAGGTAGGCCAGGAGGAGGAATTCAGACCGACGATTGGAAAGTTCAGCGCCCACCAGCTGACGAACGGGAACGCCCTACGACTCATTGATTTCGCCGCCTCCAAGAACATGGCCATACGTAGCAGCTTTTTCCAACACAGCCTCCCTTATCGTTACTCCTGGAGATCACCACAGCAGACGGAATCGCAAATCGACCACGTTCTGATTGATGGACGGCACTTCTCTGACCACTACCTGATGATGGTCAAACTGCGCCCAAAACTTTCCGTCATCCGGATGTCGCCTTAGCATACGCGCAGAATCTCGAGGCAGCGTTATCCGAGGAGGGCGAGTTCAACGTGCCCTCTCTAGAGGACTGCTGGAATACAGTTAAAACAGCCATCACCGACGCAGCCGAGAGCACCATCGGGTACGTGGAAAGAAGTCGACAGAATAAATGGTTCGATGAGGAGTGCAGAGCGATTTTGGAGGAGAAGAACGAAGTGCGGGCGGTAATGCTGCAGCATGGAACCCGACAGAACGTGGAACGGTATAAACAGAAGCGGAAACAGCAGAGCGCGTGAAGTGCGAGGAAATGGAACTGCTGTGCCGTTCCCAAGCTCAACGCATCCCGCAACGGCTTCGTGCCGCGAGCCGAAATGTGCAAGGATAAGGACGAGAGCCTCTTGACGGACGGACGTGAGGTGATTGAAAGGTAGAAGCAGCACTTCGATACGCACCTGAATGGCGAGGAGAACGTAGGCACGGGAGACCAGCGCAATGGAGGAAACGACTACGTTAGTGCAGCAGAGGACGGAACTGACCCAACTCCCACGCTGAGGGAAGTTAAGGATGCCATTCAGCAGCTCAAAAACAACAAAGTAGCTGGTAAGGATGGTATTGCAGCCGATCTCATCAAAATGGGCCCAGAAAAGTTGGCCACCTGCCTGCACCGGATGATAGTCAGTATCTGTGAAACAGAGCAGCTACCGGAGGAGTGGAAGGAGGGGCTAACCTGTCCTATTCACAAGAAAGGCGACCATTTGGAATGTGAGAACTTCAGAGCGATCACCATTTTGAATGCCGCCTATAAAGTGCTATCCCAGATCATCTCTTGTCGTCTATCACCTAAAATTACAGAGTTCGTGGGAAGTTATCAAGCCGGCTTCATCGACGGCCGATCGACAACGGACCAGATCTTCACCGTACGGCAAATCCTCCAGAAATGCCGTGAATACCGGGCCCCAACGCATCATTTGTTCATCGACTTTAAGGCGGCATACGACAGTATCGACCGCACAGAGGTATGGAAAATCATGGACGAGAACGGCTTTCCTGGGAAGCTGATCAGACTGATCAAAGCAACGATGGACGGTGTGCAAAACTGCGTAAGGGTTTCGGGTGAACTATCCAGTTCATTCGAATCTCACCGGGGACTGCGACAAGGTGGCTCTCATGCCTACTCTTCAACATCGCTCTAGAAGGTGTGCTTTGCGGACGACATGGACATTATCGCAAGAACATTTGGAACGGTGGCAGAACTATACGGCCGCCTGAAACACGAAGCAGCAAAGGTCTGGTGGTGAGTGCGTCAAAAACAAAGTACATACTAGTAGGCGGAACCGAACATGACAGGATTCGTCTAGGAAGTAATGTCACGATAGACGGAGATACTTTCGAGGTAGTGGAGGAATTAGTATACCTTGGATTGGTGAAATACGAAGGCACATCATCAGTGGAAGTCGTGCCTAATACGGGCTCCAGAAGAAACTACGGTCAAAAAAGGTGTGCAGGAGAACGGTGAGTGGCGGCGAAGAATT